ATAAATGATCAGATTTTGTGGCAAACTTTCCAGAAGCAAAGTAACACACACATGGTTGTTTTTGACTGAAAACATTGCAGTCAGGACTCTTTCTGGAGCCAACTCATGCCTTCTTTTAAAATTGTGACACCCCTGGTCTTTGTACAGTGATTGGAACAGTTTACAGCTTCCTGTCGGATCAGTTTGGATGTGCTGCAGCTGGGTCATTTTACAGCACTGCAGGCTGTAGTACAGCTGAGAGGGAGGCTTCCCTGTTGCAGAGCTCTAGTTTAATTGCACACAAGCATAGCCTCATTGATTCAGGAAGTTTTTTTGGTCACACTCCACAGTGCACAGGGCTTACTCCTGACTCTGCACTCATGGATCACTCCTGATGGGTTTCAGGAGATCATATGTGGTGCTGGAGATTGAACCCAAGTTGGCCATGTGCAAGGCAAGCACCCTTCCCACTCTATTATCCCTCCAGCCTGATTTAGGAAGTTTTACTCTCTAGGTAACAACCATCTAGACCCTTGTAAACCCAATCTTTGGAAAAATTTAGCCAGCTTAACCCAAGAAATGGAGAGGTATAGAAGTACATAAAAATATCAGTAGGTGTGTGAAATGTGTGACACTCTATCTTGTATGGCATGTGGCTTATGTGACACCGATGGCATGTATCTGAATTCATGCATACCTGTTAAATTATGAATTACTTAGAAGCTCTGTGGGAAAGACCCCCCCGCAGAAGAAGTCTTGCTTATATTCCTGTGGAGCCTGCTCAGTTGACATGCAGAGATTTGGATGTCTGTGCCAGTCCTTTATCTTCCTGGGTCGTAGACGTTTTTCATTGAAATGTTTGTTTTTCCCTTCCCATTCACCTACTGTGAAATTCTCATTTCATGATGGTTTGTTTTATTAAAAATATATAAAATGATATAGTGAGATGGTTATTGTATGATTGTACAATATTTATTGTGCTTTTTTGCATGATGCGTATGTAATTAGTTACAACCTAGGGCAGGATAACTGGGGAAACAGATTAAGTGCTCCTACTTGAACAGGAAATTAGAATCCTTAGAAACATAAACTGACATCTTCTACTCTTTTCCTATCTTTGCAAGAATGAATTTTGTTAGAGACAATGATTGAGAATTATATTTTAGAAGCCATTAGTGGAATATCTAGTTAACCCTTGATTTCCTACCATTTTCTGTTGAGGAAGGTTTGACTTGCTTATTCATTCAGTCTTTTGGGCTAGAGTGATAGTACAACAGGTAGGACTTTTTGCCCGACACTTAGCTGACCTGGATTTGATCCATGGTACCCTATATGCCCTCACACACACACACACACAGACACACACACACACACACACACAGCCAGGAGCAGTCCTTGAGCAAAGACCCAGGACTAAGCCCTGAGCACTGTTAGTGTGGCCCAAGAAAGCAACAGACAAACAAAAAACCAGATTGTTCAGTCTGTTTTGAAAGTGAATGAATGTTAGCATTCAAGTTACATTCGTACATGTATATGGATACATATTAAGGTCCTCAAATGAGAAGTGATGAAAATGGGGCTGGAATGATAGTACAGCAGGTAGAATCTTTGCCTTGATGTATCCGAGCCAGTCTCAATCCCTAGCACCCCATATGGTCCCTTGAACACTGCCAGATGTGTTTCCAAAACAAAACAAATTATAAAGAATGAGTAACTTAAGCACTGATTCTAATTATGCTGTTACATATTGTCAGCTCATGTTTAAAAATGGCAATGCTTTTCAGAATTTCTCATACACATGAAGAATATACACATGAAGAATTGTTTTTATCATGTTATAGACAGAGTGACAGTGCAAGTGCAAGACACTGTCATTGAGACGATTACTGACCAATATATTGATAATACACTCAAAAGTATTGCTTTTTTTTTAAATTCTTAGTTTCGGGCTGTGCTTGTCAGGATCATGTTTAGTTGGCCTCATAACAATCAGCGTAATTAAGAATTGGATTTTGATATGAAGGAGTTAATTTAATTTTCGATTTGCCTTATTTCTCATTCATAAGTGTTCTTACATATTTTATTTGGATAAATATGTAAATATTAAATGCAGATCTAAATTTATTTGAACTTTGACACAGAAGAGCCAAAAGGAAATGAATCAGAAGTCCTCATGAGATAGATGCTATTTCCTGTTTCCAGCATGGTGAAATATGAAAATAGTCCTTTTAGCTATGTTGGACCTTACATTGGTGTCGTGAGGGGATTGAATTAGATTAGAAGGAGAGGTTTTTCCCCTTTTAGATAGTAAGATTTTGAAGAAAATAATTTTTTTATTTGAAGAGGTGGGGCAATTCTTGGCTGTCTTCAGGGTTTACTCCAGACTCTGAGCTCAGGGATAACTCTTCATGGGGTTTGGCTGATAATATAGGGTGCCTGGGATTGAACCTGGCAACACAAGACAAGTGCCTTAGCTGTTGTACTATCTCTTCAACCCAAGAAAATTATTATTAATTCCAATTCCCAAAAATTAATTATTAAAATAAATGAACTAATATAATTTCTAAAGCTCTGTTTGCCTGCTGTACTGTCTTTCTGGCCCCTAGAATAACATTTTAATAGCATAGAATTATAAGAATTATAGTATAGTAACTATACTAAAAATCTTTATTTGAATTATTTAAATGTTCCAGGTTAATAAAAGTGAGATCTAATTTTCATTTAACTCATTTAAATATCTCAGAAACATGGTGGTTTATATGTAATTGTCAGCCAGGTGATACAAGCCCAAACGAAATTTCAGAAGATATGCTTCTGGAATTTTAAAACATATTTGACCATGAGAAAGCTTGATTTCATTGTATTCTGGCTCTAAGAAGGTCTTTGAGCAGGCAGCTAACCTTTTTGTTTGTTCTGAGGCTACACCTGGCATTGCTCAGGGTTATTCCAGGTTTTTGCACTAAGGAATTACTCCCCGTGGGCTCGGGTTACCATATGGGGTGCTGGGGATCAAACCTGGGTCATACATGCAAGGATCAAACCTAGTCATACATGTATTATCACTCCAGCCCAGGGCAGTGCAACTTTTCTTTTATAAGCTAAATTTTATTTTTATAAAGTTGTTCACAATAATTCATTTCATTTAATATTCAAACACCAACTCCACCACCATTGCACTTTCCCACCACCATATTTCAGATGTTTCTACCCCAAATCCCAAGCCGTGCCCCACAAAGCAGAACCGAAATAATTTAGTTTTATAATGCTTGTTGGGCTGGAGCGATAGCACAGCGGGTAGGGCATTTGCCTTACAAGCGGCCAACATGGCCGGCCCGAGATCGATTCCTCCGCCCCTCTCAGAGAGCCTGGCAGCTACCAAGAATACCTCGCCCGCATGGCAGAGCCTGGCAAGCTACCTGTAACATATTCGATATGCCAAACACAGGAACAACAAGTCTCATGATGGAGACATTACTGGGCCCACTCGAGCAAATCGATGAGCAACGGGAGGACCGTGTGAAATGCTTGTTATGAATAGTCCACTAAAAATGGTCCAAAAAAGTTTCCTTATAGGAAAGTGTGTGAAGATTGTTGTATTTCATCCTGGAGCATTTGAGCCCTAGTGTAAGAGATTACTAACATGTTCGTTAAACCCAATCAAATGGTGTGTGCTACTCTTGGTACATCAGTGGTGTATAGTATGGGAGGTTGCTCCAGGAATTCTGAAGTTTAGAATACAGCAGATTCACTCATGGGTGAAGCCTATGTTTATAGCTCGCTTTCAGGAGCTTTATTTCTGAGTCTCTGGATCATAGCAGTTGATGAGATTATATGGCATCGGGGCAGTGTGTGGGTGTGACTGCCAAGCTACCGGTAAACTTAGGAGATGGGGGCAGAAGGCCAATTCTCACTCGAGTGAGCTTGAAGATTTCAGTCACAGGTCCTGCATACCTGGGTTTTTCTGCAAATTCACTCATGGGTGAGGCTCATTCTAGCCCGTGGAGAACGGCTGTGAGCATGGTGGCAATTGAGTTCTGGAGGTTTTCGGCTGCTGGGGCTCTGTTGGGGCAGGGAGGGAAAGTCGTTCCCCCTCAGCCCCCCTTCCCTGGAGAGTAAATTCTTGCTCCACACTAACTCACCTCAAGAATCTCTGGTTCGATTCATGTAATCAGACTGAATGATCCAATCATACCAAACCTGTGAGCAGTCTTCACTATCCTCCTGTAACTCCTTCTGCAGAATATGTCTCTGACCCTGGCTAAATGAAAAACTACATAATAGGAATTTTTCATCTGCACTCAAAACTCAGGGGGTCAACCTCAATCTGTTATAGACTAGCTTGTGAGTAGTCACTGAAACAGGTTACCAAACTGCATATGGTCTAATGTTGTCACTCATCATCTGGATATAATAGCATCCATTTCACGGGCTTGTGAGGGTCAAACAAATGACCACATGTAAAACAGTTAATGCTTTTAATCGGAGAAACATGAAGCATTACTTGAGTTTACGGCTTGTGGTGCTGAGAATCAGTAACCGTTTAAGATAATGGCACATACATGCATATACACATAAAAACATATACATATTTTAGAAGACAAAGTAAGTTCTTTCAGGCACATGATAATGAAATAGAAAAGTGCATGCCAGTTTCTCTTGATCTTATGGGGTTATGGACTCTTGATCTTATGGACTTATAGACTATGGATTATGGACTTCACTCTAACTAAACCTCAAATTTCAGACAAATGTCAACATCAGATTGCCTGGTGTTTAGTAGAACATAATCTCACAGTATTGCTTTTTAGAACTACAGTTGATATAACAGTTGAACAGCAAACATGGAAGACAAAATGGATGTCTCTTGAATATTTTTAGAAGGGTTTGGAAATTAGACTCACTCCCAGGAGTAAAAGCAATTGAAAACCAGTATTAGTGGCTTTTTCTCCTGATTAACCTCTCTGCCCAAACGTTAAAACATGTCTCCTTAATGTATTAATATGGCTTGTTTTCATCCACAGAGGCCAGCAAGCTAGTGATGTCCTATGTTGCAGCTGTTTGTGGAAAAGGAGCAGAAGTCAATCAAGTCAAGGAGCAACTTTTACAGTCCAACCCAGTCCTGGAAGGTAGGATTTTCTGTGTGTTGGGTCGTTGAGATACTTGTCGCCAAGTCCATTGTTCAGGCACTTTAGGAACCAGTGTGCTGGGCAGTGAGCCTGAAGGAGAGAGTAAGAAACAGATCCCTGCTCTGCCTAGCCGAGGGATTGTATCCCGGTAGCCCAGCCCTTGGCATCTTGAGCTTCATAGAGTGAACAGTTTACTTACACCCCCAGGAGCTTTACCATTTACAATCGTTTTTCTCTTTTAATGTTTATTGAACTACTTAATTCTGTATTGCTTAAAAATAATCTTAGTATTTGACTTGATGGCTAGGGAAAACTTCATAGGAAAGAACAAGGCTGTGGTCGCCGGGCTCTTTTTGTCATTCAAGAAAGCAACGTGCCTGGTTATTTCTGCTATCAGGGAAACCAGGACTATGCCTGAGAAACACGTTAGGGCCAGTTTTTTTCAGGGTCCCAGAAAGCCTGTACATAACTCTCGAGGTCAGATTTTGAGGTTGGTTACCTGTGTATGTGGGCTCAGACCACCATGTCAGAATGCCATATGCCAGACAGTTACACCAAAGAAATGACTCAACTCTCTCATTGAAGTCTGAGGTATAGGTACTGACAAGGTGGGTTTACTGCTGAGTCCTTTTGGCCTGTAGGGACCACTCTTTGTTTTGTGTACACATGACCTCTGATTGTATAGGGGGGTGGAAGATGAGGAGGGGGATAAGGAAAGCCTCCTGAGTTCATCCAAATAGAATTGCCTCCCAAAGGCTTCATATCCAAATGCTGTCTCATATGAATTTGCGGGTGGAACATAAACTCTTCAGATCACAGTAACATCAAACCAACGCAGAGATCACTCCTCTTATAATACCATGGATGTTAGCATAAATATTGGTATAAAAACTTAAATTGGAAACAGTAAGTCATCTTTTCCTATTGATGGCATGCCACCCTCCTTTGAGAGGGAGGATTGGGCCATACTTGATGGTACTCAGGGCTGACTCCTGGCTCTGCTCAGGGATCACTCCTGGTAGAACATAAGTGGTTTTGGAGATCAAACCAGGGGTTGACATGTGTGAGGCAAGATCACTACCCACTGTACTATATCTTTAGTCTTGACAGCAAGTCCTTAATGTTGCTCTCTATTGTAAGCATGGTCTCTGCTGTCATTTAACACAGTCTTTGGGTCAAAATAGGGTTATTGGTATAGAGTAGGGCTGTTGAGTGCTTCACAGTATTATTAAAGCATCCTTCCCTTCTACTCAAAAGATGCCCCTCATTATTAATATTGAAAATGTCTCCAGAAATTGGCAGGTCTCCCAGAGTTACTACTGATTAGAATATTTGCTCTAGAGAAATCATTAGGTTCAACCCTTTGTTCTAAGTAATGTAAGGTCAAGATTTAACATTGGGGTGGATGGCGTACCCCATCCTGTGGAAAGGAAAACCCTGGGTCTTTGGCTTTCATTACTCAGGCCTAATTTATTCTTCCATTTTATTACAAGGAAACATCAGCGACCTTTATAGTGAACTAACTGGGAGACGAAGACCCAAACATCTCTTGCATTGATCTAGTTCTTTCCTCTCAGTATTTCAAAAATGATGCTATTATACAAATAATTAGCATTTTCATCTTACTGTTCCAGTATTTGACTTCTTGTTTACTGACTATTGGTTAGGGTGTTATTTGTACATTATATTTCTGTTTTTGCTTTTTTAAGAATGCCTTGATCTAAAGGAGCAATACTGGATTGTTACAGCTTGCATCTGTGATTAGAAGCTGGGCCTTTACTCAGTGGTATTTGAAACTAGGTCTCAGTGTAGGAAATAGAAGCAATGTCTACATGGCCATGTATTATCTTTTATGGGAATGCTTTACTTTATAACTGGAACTGCTACTGAAAATGAGTATTTAGAACAATGAAGTTAAAAAAAACAAATGAGGAATGTGTCTCAAGTGTTCTATAATGGAACACTTGTTTTTGGTTCTGTGGTTCACATAAAAGACTTCAGTGTTTGGTAATGTGCAGCTCAGATTTGCTTGATGAAAAGATGGTTTATGGCTTGCAAATGGTGCCCCAAAGAAAGTGTATTTTGAAGTAATTCCTTCACTTGCCCTTGACCTTCAAGGCACAATAAACGGCCTTTTATGTGTCACTATCAAGCTAGACTTTGGAGTTATTGCGAGGGGGCTTTTTTTATCTTGACACTCCTACATGTTCACACCTACCACAAAGGAGTAGCCTGTGAAAACATGGGAAAAAAAGTCATGGTCTTGAAGAGAATGAGGTCAGCCCTTACCTTTGTCAAGGTTGCACATAGTGAGTGTCTCAGTTGGTGGTGGCCATGGGCTAAGCACGTGAGTCTCTTCAGCTGCGTTCTCATTAGTGAGTCTTGGACATGTGTACCCTTGTTCAACACAGCACCTCAGTTCATTTTCCACCAAGAGAAAATGTGTCAGAAGTACCAGCCCATCTGCTTGTTCCAGGTGAATTCTATGATACAAGGACTCTCCCAGTGTTGGCGTAAATTTTATACTCATACAGTTTTATCTTTTTGGGGTGGAGGTTGTAGACCTGGTGGTGCTCCATGTTTAGGGATCACTCCTGATCCTCCTCATGTTTGGATTTTGTATTATGAGTGAATTAGATTTCATGTTTGGCAGGGGAAACTTAACTTTATTGAGATAAACACTTTGATCCTATTGAAAAACATAGTAGTTTATAAATCCTATTGAAAAATATAGTAGTTTATAAATGTTATTGTTTCTGAATTTTAGAATCAGCATGTAGTCATTTTTAAGTAACTTTATTTTAAAATTAAACAATTTAAGGTTTATCTTGCTCTTTTTTCTATCTGGAAGCCTTAAGAATTCCACTTTCACCTTTTGTAGCACTATGTAGTTGTCTCTGAACTAACCTTTTACGCTGATGATAATGCTGGACCAGCATAGAATTCTTGCCTGTTAGCATTCGGTTACTGTCAAAAACAGTAAGAAGTGCTGAATAAAATAAGAATAATTAGAATTGAAAAGGTTAAATTTATACGAATACTTCAGAATTCTATAACTCATTTTAAAAATAAAATTATAAATAAGACATGGATACTTTAACAACTTAGGAGTTCTGTAAGTTTATTTCTATGGAAATTTTAGACAGAATGTAATTGTTACAAGTTGCATTTTCTAGGATGTATAGATACCATTTAATTTTAATTTATCTTTATGCTTAAAATTATTTTTTCCAATATCTTTATATATCTGTTTCTTTCTAGCATTTGGAAATGCCAAAACTGTAAGAAATGACAACTCCTCTAGATTTGTAAGTATTTGTATAAAGATGTGTTAACAATGATAATGAGTTGATATATTTAGACAGCCAGTAGGTATTTAATATTTATTAATGCCCATGTTTAAAACCTAAAGAATATCATTTCTATTGTCCTGAAACTTGTAGAAGAACTATTTTTTCCTCCCCCCACCCTTTCTGGAATTTTTCTTTTTCTTCTTAAGAGTCATAGGCTATTTTTCTTTTATCTGTACTTGACCATATAGGATGCCAGGGATCGAATCTAGGTCAACTGCATGCAAGGCAAGTGCCTTACCCACTGTACTGTCTCTCCAGCCCTTCTTGTCTGAATTTTTATATGTAGAAATGATCACTCAGAATCAGAAACTATTAAATAGAGAAGGGTAAAACTGGGTGTTGAGTTTATGTGTTCTAGAACTCGTCCTGATTTCAGCAGCACCACAAATGGGTTGGGGGTGGGGGCAGTCTTCTAAAACATCATGAAACATCATGATGCTCCAATCAATTGACTCAGCAACTAATGGGACAGGAAGAGTGGATGGAGCAAATTGTAAAAATCAAGGCTGATGGATGTTTTAAGTTTGGTTGAGTTGGGAAATGCTAATTCTGCTAATGTAAACCTTTCCGGCCACATCTCAGCATGCATTGCCACATCAGCCACTGGGATCCCCCAAGCGGGGATGTGCTCCTTAGTGCCTTTCTTTAGTCTCCAAAGAAACAAACACTGGGTGCAGCTGGGAGAAATATGTTGACTGTGATGGTGGCATTTTGAAATTGGTCTCTTCTTCGGTTTAAATGATTATATAATAAAGGTTCATTTGTATTGTAGCTCTCTTAAATGCATTCTATGAGGCCATTTTTCATCTTTCCCACTTCCTTATCTGAGATCCTTCTTGCCTTTTCTCTCCCTTTTCTGCTTTTAGTGCTCTCCTGTCCCCCAACCCCAGTTGCCTTTTCCTCTCTTGCTTAAGGCAAGAGAATGACCCCAAGTGGGAGAGAGCTTTAATAGTTTATAAAGTGGAACACTGAAATTCCTCCTTCTCAGGCTGTGAATTTTTTCCATTGGATTAGCCCCTAAAGTTGTTGTAACTGATTTGAACCGTGCTTTTTCCTGTTGTGGTAACCTGGCTAATCTCATTATATAAATAGAGTGAGAAGCCAGTATGGAGAGTTAGAAATAATTCCTATAGATCATCCTTCTTTTGTGGGTTAGAGGTTTTATTTTTGCTATTTGCAAATTACGTATGTATACACATACTTTTCAAAGTATGTGCAAATATATTCAGTCTACCGATGACAAAAATGCAGACAGTATTTTTGCTGAAAGAGTCATTGCTGCTTGGTGATAATTGAAACTAGTGAAAGGTTAGTGGGTGATCTGGCTTATTAAGTAACTTCAGATAAATCCTGTTATAACATGGGTATTAGGATATAAGAGTTAATACTTGATTATAGGCTTAAACTTTTCATCCAGTTTTCAGTAATTTCTCTGCTTTGTCATCTGTGACATGAACACTAATGTCCTTAAATTCCACAATAAATTTAAATTTACTCCTGTATATAGCAGTAATCTTTTACTCCAAGGTTCTGGCTTAAATCTCATTGCTTTTTGGTTTCCTGCTGCTCATCCTCCCTTTCAGTCTGCATTCAGGGTTGATTTCTTTCTGTTCTCTTCAACGTTCTTGTCTTTACTCTCAGGTGGTGCTGTTACACCTACTTCACAGCAGTCACCCTCATCATCATCATTCAAGCCCTCAGCCTTGGTGCCTCACCTCTTCCTCTGTATACACATCCTCCTGAGGCACTGGGAGAGTCTGAACTCCCAGCTCATCCCCACCCACCTCTGCTCTAGGTGTGTCGCCTGCATTTTCCAGAAACATTTATCAGAGCCATCCCCAGCTTGGATGATCAGTTCCTGACTGTCTCAGGAAGTTGCTCTTACTCTCTTCCTTCATGGCTGCTGTACTTGGGTGTCCTCTCACCCCACAATATCACCGAGTGTCACTGCCTGTCAGTTTCCTAGGCCATGTTTCTGGACTCTATTACCTAGATCAAAAGTCAAAGAGTAATTCTGATGAGTCTTGGATTCTGAGCTGATCTGACTACAAAAATCATGCATTTTGTATTCCATTGCAACTTTGTGTTCCATTTTATTCACTCTCCAGCATTAATTCGGTATTTTTTGCTGTAGCTTCAATCACATTTTACCAGTGTAAAGTATTTCCCAATTAGTGTCTTTATAAAGTATGTAATCTCTTTTTATTCGCCCCTGATTTTAGTCTTGATAAGCACATATCTGAACTGGGAAAGCTACATGATGGCTCAGAAGATCTTTTTTTAAATTAGTCAACAGGGTGCAGTTTGGTGTATTTGCATCAATGGTGTATTTGTTATGAATTATTTATAGAGGCCTATTGTTTTGCATCATGATTACTTAAATTGTGTCTCTCTTAATTACATTTAAACAAGTATATAAAAATAAGGACATAATGTGCTATTATCTAAGAAGTTGTGCTAACTGAATATTTTGAAACACTCACAAAGTCTTTCTTTGGCAGGGCAAATATATGGACATTGAATTTGATTTTAAAGGTGACCCACTGGGAGGAGTGATAAGTAACTGTGAGTATTTAATTTCAATCCTCTTGAAAAAGTTCAGAATAAAAAATTAAATACCCAACATTTAAAATAGAGTATTTTAGACACTTGGATCTTCAAGAGGCAGAGATAAAAATAGGTTTCCTTTTCTTAGACCTTTATATGTTTCAGACTGTCTTGAAATAATTATTTTGAAATCTTTTTAGAATGTAAAGTCTTCAAATCTTTGACAAATGTTTTAGAAGTAAACACAAACTATAGTCCAGAGGTTTTGCAGGTACTGCAAAGAGCTGGAGCATATGCCTGCATACACTACACAAGGGTCTGAGTTTGTTCCCTGGTACCATGCCCTGTTCTCTCCCTGCCTCGGTTCTCCCCCATAGAAACCCTGGGTATAGCCTAGGTGGCCCCCTGCACTGCTGTGGGGGCTGGGCCTGAGCATGAGCCCTGAACAAGCAGGTACACATCAAGAAAGAAGGCAAGGACGGAAGGAGGGAGAAGAAGGGAAAAGATAGGAGAGAGAGGAAAGGGGGGAGGCCACACCCAACAGTGCTCAGGGCTTACTCCTGGCTCTGTGCTCAGGGATCCCTCTTGGAAGGCACAGGAGACCATATGCGGTGTCAGAAAATGTTACTTTCTTTAATAAAATTTTTCTGTGATTTAAAAATATATAAATTAGTGCTAATTTAATAACCTATTCCAGTGACATTTATCCAAGATGAATAGATCTGTACTTAAAATTTCATTGTGAAAAACTTTATCTTCATTATATCATTGAAATGTGATATGTCTATTTGTCTAAGTACTAATTTATTGGCCTCCTTCAGTCATAATTTGTAATTAGGGAAATCAGGTGTTATTTGTCTGGTGAAGTACTTAAGATCCTGTGAAGTCAGCTTCACAGAGAGGTGACATAGCGGAGCCGCTCTCTAGGGCTTGCTGTAGGGGCATCTCTGCTGCAACTGGATCCTGTGGTCAGTGCCATGGAGCCGGGCACATACAGCTCTACCCATTGCTCAGTTTAGAGCATTCGCAAGAATCACTCAAAGTTTGCCCTGCCCTTGCCATATTATCCTCTTGCATCCTCAGGGTGTGTGAAGGGTGGACTCCTGAAACCCATTCCACAGGCCTCTCAGCACCCCATGGTGCCTTTGGGATTATTAGAATGAAAAATCAATTTGAACTAGTGGGGGAGGGGGGAAAACCCAAATATTACTGAAATAACCCAAAGCACTGTGCTTCTGATGTATTGAGAAATGGCGTTTCTTCTTCACATGAGATTTATAGCAATGTAGCACTGTAGCACTGTCCTCCCATTGTTCATCGATTTGCTTGAGCGGGCACCTATAACGTCTCCATTGTGAAACTTGTTGTTACTGTTTTTGGCATATCAATATTGAATACGTCATGGGTAGCTTGCCAGGCTTTGCCGAGATTTTATAATGATTTCTGAATATTAAACAAAATAGAACAAGACAAGATTGCAGAAAAGGAATTATGTAGTCAGAACTCTTAGATACTGAAGCTGTCCCCGAGATCTTACTGAGGAACTCTCAAGCCATTGGAATGTCATTTAAAAGTTGCTATGTTAAATAATGTTGAATTGTGCAACTGATTTTTATTTATTTTTTATCTTTTAAGTTTTTTTTGCTTTTTGGGTAATACCCAGCAATGTTCAGGGCTTACTTCTGGCTCTGCACTCAGGAATTACTCCTGGAGGTGCTTGGGGGACCATATGGGGTGTCGGGGATTGAACACGGGTCAGCGATGTGCAAGGCAAATGCGCTACCCACTGTACTACCGATCCGGCCCCTGATTTTTTTTTTAATGGACACAACTTTATAGAGTAACCTTTTAGGGCCAACGTTCCCTCATATTTGAAACAGTAGGATTGAATTGATGGGATTCCTTGGTTCTTTCGACTTTCATCATTCTGCATTTTTTCACTAATTTTTTCATTTTAGAGTCCCCGGCTGCTCATTCTGCATACTGTGCATTGGGATTATATAAAGTGTATAAAGAAATGTCTTTTTTTTTTCCTTTTTGGTTACATCCAGTGATACACAGGGGTTACTCCTGGCTCTACACTCAGGAATCAATCCTGGTGGTGCTCAGGGGACCATATGGGATGCTGGAAATCGAACCCAGGTTGGCCACGTGCAAGGCAAATGCCCTACCAGCTGTGCTATTGCTCCAGTCCCAAGAAATGTCTTGAAGAGAAAGTTTCAGCATGAAACTAAACTGAATCCTTCCTAGGCTAGATAGTTTTTTGATATGTTAAATATGGAAGCAAAATTACTCAGAAAACATGAATATTGTGTCGCCAAAAGCAGATTATTACAGCTTTCTTAGTCTGTGAGATCCCTTCCCTTCATTGTATCAGCTATATTAAAGCTTTCAGGAAAAAATGGAGACCATCCTGTACAAAGAAAACTACAAAACACTACTTCAGGAAATAAAAGAGGACATGAGGAAATGGAAAGATATCCCCTGCTCATGGGTCGGGAGACTTAACATTGTCAAAATAGCAACACTACCGAAAGCATTGTATAAATTCAATGCAATCCCTATAAGGATACCCATGACATTCTTCAAAGAAATGGAGCAAACACTCCAGAAATTTATATGGAACAATAAGCCCCCACGAATAGCTAAAGCAATTCTTGGGAAAAAGAAAATGGAAGGAATCAACCTCCCTAACTTCAAACTGTACTACAAAGCAGTAATAATTAAAACAGCATGGTACTGGAACAAAGGCAGAACTGCAGACCAATGGAACAGGGTTGAATACACTGACATCTCCCCTCAATCATATGATCATCTAATCTTTGATAAAGGTGCAAGTAATGTGAAGTGGAGTAAGGAAAGTCTCTTTAACAAATTGTGCTGGCATCACTGGACGGCTACATGCAAAAAAGTGGGCTCAGAACTCTGCCTAACACCATGTACAAAAGTAAGATCAAAATGGATTAAAGACCTCAACGTCAGACCAGAAACCATAAGGTACATTGAAGACAAAGTTGGCAAAACCCTCCATGACATTGAAGCTAATGGTATCTTCAAAGATGCCACGCCACTGCCCGAGCAAGTGAAAACAGAGATAGATAAATGGGACTATCTTAAACTAAGAAGCTTCTGCACCTCCAAAGAAACAGTGACCAAAATACAAAGACAGTCTACAGAATGGGAACTGATATTCGCCGAACACACATCTGACAAGGGGTTGATATCAAGGATATACAAAATACTGGTTAAACTCAACAAGAAGAAAACATCCAACCCCATCCAAAAATGGGGCGATGAAATGAACAGAAACTTTCTCAAAGAAGAAATCCAAATGGCAAAAAAGCACATGAGAAAATGCTCTACATCATTAATTATCAGGGAGATGCAGATCAAAACCACAATGAGATACCATCTCACACCTCAGAGACTGGCCCACATCCAAAAGAACAAAAACAACCTATGCTGGCGCGTATGTGGCGAGAAAGGGACACTCTTTCACTGCTGGTGGGAATGTCGACTGGTTCAGCCTTTCTGGAAAACAGTATGGACGATTCTCAAAAAATTAGAAATTGAGCTCCCATTTGACCCAGCAATACCACTCCTGGGAATATATCCCAGAGAGGCAAAAATGTATAGTCGAAGTGATATCTGTAGTTGTTTGTTCATTGCAGCACTCTTTACAATAGCCAGAAACTGGAAGAAACCTGAATGCCCAAGAACAGATGACTGGTTAAAGAAACTTTGGTACATCTACACAATGGAGTACTATGTAGCTGTTAGAAAAGATGAAGTCATGAAATTTACGTACAAATGGTACAACATGGAAAGTATCATGCTAAGCAAAATGAGTCAGAAAGAGAGGGATAAACATAGAAAGATTGCATTCATCTGGGGAATATAAAGAAACAAAATATGAGATTAATACCCAAGAATAGCTGAGATCAACACCAGGAGGATTACTCCATAGCTTAGAGGCCAGCTGGGCATTCTAGGGGAAAGGGCAGCTCAGATAGAGAAGGGAGCACCAAATAAAGGGTGTTTGGAGGATCCTCCCAGGAGGGGAGATGCATGTTGAAAGTAGACTATGGACTGAACATATTTGCCACTCAAAGCCTCTTTTGCAGACCACAACACCCAAAAGGAGAGAGAGAACACAGGGGATTGCCCTGCCACAGAGGCAGGGTGAGATGGGAGGGATATTATCCATGGTGGTGGAGAATGGGCACTGGTGGAGGGATGGGTATTTGATCATTGTATAATCGAAACCCAAGCACAAAAAATTGTAAATCTACAACTGTACCTCATGGTGTTTCACTAAAAATAACAAAAAAAAATGGAGTCCATTTAAAGACACCAAATTAGGGAATAATTAATTATTACTCTTAAACTACCCATAAGCCTTTTTATCCTTTTATAAGACAAACTAACTCTCATGGTTGATTTAATAATAAGTATTTTTATATGAGGTTAAATTTACTTTTTTAAAAAAGTAGAACTTCTGCATATAAACATTCTAGAATAATTTAATCAGTATTTCTTTTGAAGACCCTGGAATAGAAAAGAATAAAATGACTTTATTTAAACATAACTTATATTTTGAGATTTTAAGTTCCAAACAGAAATCTCTTCGTGTTCCCTAATATTTTACTGTTTCTATGGATAATAAATATTATACACTCAATTCTTTTCCATTTAAGATTATTATGTCATTTGAATGGATTTCAGATGGTGTTTGTTACCATTTGTTCCCACAGTAGAATTGCACTGAAGCTTGTTGTAGTGGGAACACCCTGGTATTTTTGTGGTCCTTTGTATCATGAGGGAAAGGAGACAGTAGTAGTGAAAGCAGGAAATTTCACCCTGTTTGGAGAATTGACTCAGAGGTGGTCACTGGGCATTAGCTGTTTCCTTGGCTCAGGGGGTCTTTGCAAGCAACCTCATTCTTATTTGCTCCAAGTTTCTTAAGTCAGCTTCTTATGTAGTCAAGCAAAGAAGACAAGATTTACTATTGTGTAGAA